GTTGCGACGTCTGTCGGAGGAGGCAGTGAGTCTGCTGGCGAAGCAGGTGGAGCCGGACGGCGCGTATGTACCGTCGGTAGAGACGGGGAAGCGGCCGGGACCGGCGCACGAGGCGATGGTCCCGTTGTTGCAGAGTCCGGGGACGCAGGAGCGGGGGACGACTCCGACGGACAAGGTCGGGGTGCCGACCGACTTGAGCATAATTAAGGCGTTTCTAGCGATGCTCGGGACCGAGCTCCCACAGTTCCCGCAGGTAGAGACGCGCGCTCCCGAGACGAGGGCGTACGAGGAAACAACCGAGGGCGAACCCGCCATAGACGACCACGGGTCAACGGCGTCTTTCCGGAGCCCCGAGGGTAGCAGTGGTTCCGAGGCGGACGAGGCGGAGCCGCGTCCTAATTAGTTATAAAGCAAGCGTTAGCGTTCCGAGGATGAGGTTACCGGCGGCGGCCGGTATCTATTTGTTTGTTTACTATGACGACTTAGGAGGAAGGAGAGGAACCTCATCCGGCGCGGTAGTAGATATAAGGATGTTTAGTTTCAGCGGCGCAGTTTCGAGGCAGCCGAGGCGTTCCACGATGCAGAAAGGTGACGCACAGCGAAGCGAACGAATCGTCCGCGATTTTCATAGATAGGCGGCACGCGCGTAAAAGGTACAGGCCTGATCGACAAGGCAGAGTCGCGAAGCACGATACGCGGGTCAGAGTCGAAATCTGGCCATAAACAAAAAAGATGGCGGACCGTCGCGAAACTCCTAAAACGGCATGCACCGCGAGATTGTCGCCGATGCGGTCGGCACCGCGAAGTCATGAGAAGGGTGACCCGCGAAAAAACGACGAGATTCGCACACTGGGTCGTAAGTTACCGCGACAGGGTACACAGGTACCAAAACGGCGTGCACCGCGAGATTGTCACCGATGCGGTCGGCACCGCGAAGTCATGAGAGGGGTGACCTGCGAAAAAACGACGAGATTCGCACACTGGGTCGTAAGTTACCGCGACGGGGTACACCGGTACTAAAACGGCGTGCACCGCGAGATCGTCGTCGATGCGGTTGGCACCGCGAAGTCATGAAAGGGGTGACCCACGAAAACCCGGCGCGATACGGCCACCAGGAGGCCAAATAGGCAACCGAGCGTCATCCACGGGGAATGACCAGCGGGTCACGATGAGTGGGACCTGGTACACCCGAGGAACGGGTCGCCGTCAAAGTCCGATCGCCCGGACACGAGATACGGCGACGTGTCGCGGGAACTCGCAAACCGGACATCATCCACGGGAAGCGAGCACGGAATCGGGCCAAGGGGGACCGCCGGAGCGGGACCAAGGGGTCGCCGTCAACGGCGGAGGTCGCGATCGCGACATAGACATCTTCGCCGAGAAGTCGACCCGGGGTCATATAAAGGGACCACGGAGAAGGCGTGCGCGGGGGTCGGCGCCGTCGTAAGTCGAAAAATGCGGGAGTTGGAAAACCACTACCCGGGGTCCGTCTCGGGACATCGAGTAGATGGTACTCCAAATGGAAATTTCCACCGCGGACCTAGGGTACTGCGGGGAGCGGGCGGCATGTATTATAACTGCGTAGCGGCGAACATCTGGCGCACACCTGTCGGCCCGAAGATCGTAAACACCCATTGTTCTCGCGGCGAGCGGAAAAGTACTGCGAAGAGAAAGCGACCGTATACCCGAGAGTGGGGGCAAAAGGCACCGTAGGTAGGGAGCCGGAGCGAAGAAGAGGGCTCGAGGCAGTCTGTCGGGGATGTTCGAGCGTGTAACACGTATTAAACTTCGCTCTGTTTCGTCGCGCTAAGTCACCGCGATCGTCATACAAGTAGCATAATTACGGTTCGCCAACATTCATAACAACCGGCAACGCCCGCGGAACGCGTTACTGTCGTCTTTACAAAGACGAACGGCCTTTTTAGACCGAAAACAAGATCGTCCGTCGTAGATTAACGGGGCGTATGTGCCCACGTATCCGAGCGTCCGACATCTTGAGTGACTTAAAGTTTTGTGTACAACCAACACCTGAAATCAATATAAGTGAATAAATTAAACATCCTTTTCGTAAAAGATTTCGAAAATTTATTAAATTGGACTTACCTTCTACTCACCTGATCCATCGTTGACGGTCACTCGACTTCCCTCGTTGATTCTGGATTCCGGTGGCAGCGTTGATCCTGATCGATGACGGCGATGATCCGGCGGTGGCAGGAACCTGAAAAAAGAAGAGAATTAGTCTAATTAACGATTCGAGAGATCGTGCGATACTTACCTTCTCGGTGGTTCAAAGGTCAAACCGAGTGGCGACCGTTGATTTCTAAGGACACGTAGCGTTGATTCGCGCATCCTGAAGTACCGTCCGGTTACAGTAGAGGAGCGCGAGGAGCACATAACCTTCGACATACACCGATCACGTGACAAGGACCTGCGGCTCTTCACACTGAGACAGCGGAACAGCCAAGGTGGGAGATACCTCAATGCTTCGGCGGGGTTAAAATCTTCGTGACCTAAAACAAAATGGCGACCGTGACAGGACACGTACGTGTATGATCGACAATTCAAGGTCACGGGTCTTATACATAGACTCGGAGTGCGCGTATAGTGAGACTAGCGTGCGAATAACAACCAACTATAGGCGATCCATAGCGAGGACAGGCAACAGAGAGACCGACCTGCAACGTCATTACAACGGGCGACGAAGGACGCGGGGCGTAACGCAACGAGCGCACGCAACCCATACAAAGCGTACCGAGACCGCACGGACGTTAACAGGCAAGTTCGAATCCCGCCGATCGCGCCTAATACCGCGGCACCACAGGGCCGAAGGTCAGAGGCACAACAAGTAACGAAGACGCGGACATCGTTGGAGCAAGCCGACGGTGACGTGGGACACCAACGTGTCGAAGCAAGTGGCACGAAAAGTGCGAAAATGTTAGTGCGTCAGTGAGTGAGGGTACCACGGCACGACACAGCTTTCAGCGAGCACCGAGTGCGACAAGGCCAGACGACGAATTAGTGCAACCGCGTCACAACAACGTGCGTGAAGCGTGTAAAGTTGCGCGTCGACAAACTGACGTCGCGACATTACCGAATCACACGACGACGTACGGGCACGAAGTGTACGAAAAGTCAAAGAGCCGACATAGTACGAGGGCCGCGAAAATTATTTCGGTTCGAGGGCAGTGAGAGACCGATCCGACGCGTCATAACAACGTGCGAAGAACGAACGCGAGGCCGTAACGTAGTGCACGCACGGTCTAAACAAACGCGTCTCGACACCGTACGGGCGTGATCAGGACAAGATCGAATCCCGCAACCGACGTCCAGAACTTCGGCACCATAGGTCCGAAAGTGCGAGGCGGAAAGAAAAACAGTCGTATGTCGACGGTGACGCATACCCCAGCGAGGATCCGCACCAGGTCGCAGCAGCGGCCGGACAACGACGAAGATCACCAGGGTGACGACCCATATAACGTACCACAAAATACCGAGAGTCATAACGACCTCGACGAATTGATACCGTTGGACAGAATAGTCCCGGCGGATGAGCAGCTGCAACAGCAATACGAGGCGATTAACCTCAGTGCGGAGAAAACAATGGACACTCCCACGGAAAACGAGCGTAAGCTCCTTGCGCAAGTGCAAGAATTAACGGCGCAGCTAATGGAGATACAACGGGCCGCGAAGCAGCAGCAAAGACAAGATTCCGTCGTAACACTGAATACGGATTGTGGTCCGGCGGGCGAAAAGGCCGCAGAAAAAACGGGCTCACAGGCGTACGGCGACGAGGATCAGTTCAACGCGGGAAGACTGCAGATGGTACCGATCCAAGCGAGACTGCCGAGAGGAGGATGGATCAAGAGTCCGTTCGACGATTTGACGTTTATAGGGAAAACGGATAAACAAAACCCTATCAGATTCCTCGAGAAATTCGAGAAGCTAGCCAAATATGAAGGTGTATCCGAAGAGGAACAGATGTTCTATTTCGGTAAATGCATGCGGGGAGCAGCGAGCCAGCGGCACGAGTTGCAGCTGGCGGAGAGCATAGAAGAAATCAAGGACAAGTTCCGACAGTACTTCTGGGGCTGCCAGGCGCAGATGCGCTTTAGACAACAAATCTATTTTGGTAAATATAAGCCTGGAACAATGTCGATGACAGAATATGCCTTGAATATGGCGCGTCAAGCGAAAACCTTACGACCGCCGATGACCGACGAGGAGTTGGTGCAGACGCTCCGCGAGCACTTTGACGGTGACGTCGCGCGAGAACTCAGGCCGTCAATAGCAAAAACGGTCACCGACATGATAGACATGTTGGACACGTTGGAAAACGAGCGAGAAACTCGACGTTTGCGCGGGGAAGCGCGAAGAACCAGTGATAAGCCGACAAGTCGAGCGACTAATGGGTCGAGTCAGACGGCCAACCGAAGCGACGAGACGAAGGATGGCGGACGCCAAAACAATTTTGCCAGACGCGACGCGACGAGAAACTCGCCGCAAACAAAGTCGACCAGCTGGCGAAAGGCTGACACTCCGGATACGAGAAAGCGCGGTGACGTCGACATAATCGAAGAGCCCGACAGCGACGACAGTCAGGCGAAACCACGGGTGACTCGGTATACCCGGGACGGGAATAACAATCCGAGGAAGGAGACAGTCAGATCGGGATACCGACCTGACACGCGAACGACGAGGCCGGGTGAACGCGGACAAAAGTTAGCGGCCATCACGGCGAAGGAGACGGAGAGAGAAGCGGAGAACACGGTGGAAGAGACCGCCGAATCGGAGGAGTCCGACAAGGAATGCTGTCTCATACAGCACGAGGCGCCCAACCGAGCGCCGTCCGAGGAAAAGATCGATGACATCATCGATGAAATCGGACGGAAACTCATAGCGGCGGGTCAGGAGACCGTGGAGTGTGACGACGTACCGATGATCGAATTCGAATATTGCGCGGGTAAAGTAAAAGCGGTGGTGGACACCGGATCCCAAATAACGGCGATGACCAAACAACTGCGCGAACAGTTGGAAAAATCAGGCGAGCCGATCAAGAAAGTTCCGACTAGGCTGTTCAAGCTGAAGGGAGCGTTCTCAAACGAAGGAGTCCCGATACGCGACCAAGTGCAAGTGGGGTTTCGATACGAGCGGAAAATCTACGAGCATCGGTACTACGTCGTAGACGAGTTAGCCTACGACATAGTGCTAGGAATGGACTTCCATACCAAATTCTGCATGAAGCTGGTGTGCCACCCGCGAACGGAAGTGAGATTCCTGCGATCGGGCAGAAGCTATGAAGACGGGTGTGTGGAAAAGGCCTATCGCCTATTGCGCGAGATGACACACCAGATGATCCTGAGTGTGGAACGAGCGCCGGGATACAAGAGGCCGGTGCGCGGAAGAGCGGAACCATTCTTGGCGATTATGGAATTGGCGGGCCGACTAACGACAAAGGTAGGAGAGTTGGCCGAGGAGTACGGATTCACCGGCGCGAGAACGTCGAGAAGGACGTTATTCCCGAATGACGGGGAGTCGGAGCGCGCCGGCGATAACGGCGAGAATGACGGGGAGCCGGGGAGCGAAAGCATCGCCACGATGCAAGTGATATGCCGCAACCCGGAAGACAGCCAAGACGAAGAGATAGGCCCGGTCATTCTGAACGAGGTGATGCTAATCCCGTTGGCGCCCGAGCGTCCGGCGGACGGCGAGGAGGCATCTGTGGAAGATACGAGAAATACATCAGCGAGCATGGAAACCTCCATCGAAATTCTGTATGAGAGATCCCCGACGCTCAGACCGATGCAGGGACGGATAAGAAGACGCTGGGGAGTACGACGGTCGACACGGAAGAGAACGAGTACACAACATCGGAAGACCAAGAAGAAAGCGACCGGGGTGCAGAAACGTTGGCGGATATCTCAGTTCGTGAGGAATCAACGTCGGAAGAGGCATCGAGTGATCCGCGACGGTGGCTCGGAGGAAGACAAGTCCGATAATAAACGGGACGGAGTGTCGGGCGCGATCGCGAAAACCGAGCGCGGACGCGGGGACGGCGAGTGCGCGCGAATTATCGGGTCGTGTAGTGCGGTTGACTGGGAGACGACCCAGCAATCGCGACTTCGTGTGATTTTAGCGAAGCTGAATCCAATGAGCCAGGACGGGAGAGGCCAGGACGGTGTACGCAGTAAGAAGAAGATGGAGCGAAACCCAGCGACGAGTGCAACGGGCGACGAAGACCGGCGCAACAACGACAGGCCAACAGGAAGTTCGACGCCAAAGAAGAGGGGAAGTCCTGGAATGTTCACCGGGATTGCCGGGACACCACCCGTCCCGGGGGATGAGACTCCCTTGGAACAGCTATCGTTCCAGCAGCTGCGAGAACGACTCGATGCGGCGTCAGAAACGATGACGGCGCGAAAGCGCTTTCTCGAGCATAAGCTTATGCTCAGAGAGACGCTCGAGGGGGTCGAGCGATTCATCGAAGGAATTCCACCGGGCGAGATATACACCCGGGAGGAATACCAACGGCAAATGGGAGACACGCGACGAGTGTTGCAGCGAATCGTCGACTGCAACCGATTTGGCGGCCGAATGGTGAGAGTGCTTCCCGACATCCGTGTTCCAAGCGATGTGGAAGGGGAGCCAGACGTCGCGAAGGTCACGGTGGTGACCACGGCAAATTGGCCGTTACGAGATGACGGTACGAGGAAATCGTTCCGTCTGACGCTGGAGTTCCGGGGCAATGAGATATACACCGAGCCGAAGATCATCGAGGACGACGCGCCATCCGCATGGAAGCCAGTCTGGCGCATAGAGGACAGCAGTGGAGAAATAGTGGTGCGGGACGATCGCCCTACCGATCCCAAAACCACGACCGAGCCGGAGGTGTTGGTGTCCCGACCGGGACGAGTATACGTGTTAAGCGACACAGAGACCAGCACTGAAGTGGAGGACGAGCCGCCCGGGGACGAAACGATCCCATCGACCAGCGGCGCGCAAGTACCGGACAAACCGGAAACACCACCGCCGCCCACGCCTTCGCCCAACTGGGTCAGTGTCGGCGTGAATTGCGTACAGGTGGACGCACCGCCCCAACGGGAGTCCGAAGAATCCGACGGGGAATCCGACGGAGCGTCGGAGAGGACGACCCGAACGGGACGAGGCAAGGACATCGTCACAGGCCGCGAATTGATGACGGTGACACAGCGGGGAGCGGCAAGGACGGCCCAGGAGAAAATCCGGGGCCAAGTCGAGGATGAGGACGTGGCCCGCAGGGAGAAACGACGGGAGCGCGACCGGAAGAGGAGGCGCCAGAAGGAGGAGAGTCAGCGTGTGGAGAAGCGCAGACACCCAAACGCGAACCGCGCCCAAAA